GATTGTTATACATCGATTTAAACAGAAAGCTTCAAGCTTCAATTTAAAATAAGTTTTATTTCTTAATTTCAATAAACACGGTTTCCAGGAATTTTTGAATTAGCATCTTTTTTGACACTTAGACTATGCGAAAATAGGGGGATTGCATATTTTGCTAAAATTTTATTCCAAAGGCCTTTACTGAGTGTATTTTGATAGCGTTTTAATTCTGTCTGATTCTGTCACAAAGTTTCAAAATGTTTGACTTCTTGGGACACAAAGGGTTAAGTAAGTTTTATTTAAACAGTGGTTCATAATTTATTCATTAATTATTAATTTATTTCATTTTCGGCTTGTGAAAACACCAACAGATCGTCTTGTGACGTTTCGATTTGAGGTTATAATTATAGAGTTACATCCCTTAGAAGAACAGACGTACTTTTTCGACGTGGCTATTTGAATTGTACAGCAGACATATTAAACTAATGCTATCTCTTTCTAACACACATTACTCTCTAGCGGTTTGTGAATTTTAATTTACTACGTATGGCATTTGTAACAGCGGAAAACGATGATTTACTGCCAGGTCTCGTGGCGTCTACTATACAAACAAATATTGCTATGTTTATTTGACCTAAAAAAAAAGCGTCATCTATCAATAATTTATTAAGTCATTTAATAATAATATTAATAAAAAATGTGAAATAATACAATCTATTCCAACTTTTGTGTAAAACAAACATAAATTAAATAGTTCAACAAATGTATTTGTTCCAAATATCAGAAATATGTTTTTTTAATTTTTAGTTATAATTTACAGGAAACTGTAAATTTAATTTCTTTGACGACACTAAAAAAAAAAAGTTTATTTCTAGCTTTATTCTAAAACAATAAGAAATAGACCTGTCAAACCCTATATTTTTGTAATCAGAAAAAAATAACGAATTTAATAAAGCGAATAATCTGGTTATTACCATTTAAAAAAACGAAAATTGTCATGATATCTCAAAATCTAAAAAAGAATTTTTTTTTTGACTCCGTCATCAAATTTTCTGTAAAAAAGTGTCTATATAATGTCTTAGTTATAATACTCTACCTATAATAATAACCAAGATAATTGCACTTGCTGGTTTTACATTTTCAATTTTGGCCTCTAGGGGAAAAACAAAAGACGATAGCGCTTTGAGGTTTTTGGCATTAGCAGTTTCTCGAAAAACGAGATCATGACATGTAAGCTACTTTTTTTCTAATTCTTATAGTTTCCGAGATAGCCTATTTGGACATCGAATTTGAACCACCCTGTACATGTGGGCAAATTTGGGTGTTATTATAGAGCAGTGTTGTCCACTAATTTTTGATCAAGATCGACTTTTTATATAAATGTCTTGCCAAGATCGACCGAAGGGTTTAAAGTAACCTTCCTTTTTTTTCTTTTTTGCTCTGAGGCCAAGATATAGATATTTCAGATTCATGATTTTTTTGGCAATCGACGTTATGGTTACCACTGATTTAGAGCTTATAAATAAAAAATGGTAATAATTGAGTTCAATCTTTTTATGGATCTAGTCTTTATAGGCGATTACTAAGGTTTTATGTATAAAAAGTATTTCCCCATCGTTTTTAGTTTTTGAGTTATAAGTGACTTAATTTTCGAAAATCAACAATTTTGATGTTTAATCGGTTTAGAGCTTAGAAATAAAAAATGGTAATAATTGGGTTCAATCTTTTTATGGATCTAGTCTTTATGGCCCATTTCTAAGGTTTTATGTATAAAAAGTATTTTCCCATCGCTTTTAGTTTTTGAGTTATAATCGAGTTAATTTTCGAAAATCAACAATTTTGATGTTTAATCGATTTAGAGCTTATAAATAAAAAATGGTAATAATTGGGTTCAATCTTGTTATGGATCTAGTCTTTATGGCCCATTACTAAGGTTTTATGTATAAAAAGTATTTCCCCATCGCTTTTAGTTTTTGAGTTATGATTGAGTTAATCTTCGAAAATCAACAATTTTGATGTTTAGTCGATTTAAAGCTACTAAATAAAGAACGGTTATAATTGGGTTCAATCTTTTTATAGATCTAGTCTTTATGGCCCATTACTAAGGTTTTATGTATAAAAAGTATTTCTCCATCGCTTTTAGTTTTTGAGTTATGATTGAGTTAATTTTAAAATCAACAATTTTGACGTTTAATCGATTTAGAGCAGTAGTGTCCACTAATTTTTGATCAAAATCGACTTTTTATATAAATGTCTTGCCAAGATCGACCGAAGGGTTTAAAGTAACCTTCCTTTTTTATTGCTCTGAGGCCCAGATATTAGATATTTCAGATTCATGATTTTCTTGGCGATCGACTCAAAACTGCTTTGAGATCGACGTTATGGACACCACTGTTATAGAGACTATCTCAGAACCTATAAGAGACGCGGAAAAAGTAGTGCCATGTCCCGGTCTCTTTTTTCGAATCTAATTCAATCCCGCAAAGACCAAACCTTTATCTTTTTTTGTTTTTAAGTTATAGCCAAAAAGTCAAATTTTCGCGATTTAAAAAAATGCTCATATATCATTTATTTTTGAACTTAAAGAAAAGCGGTTAACTAACACATTCTTAAGACTTTTGAATAGAATAAACTGCCGTTGAAAAATTTTTGAATTAAGCGGATTAAGAAGTTCTGCATTATCTTTAAATAAAACGATAAAATTAAATATAAATTCAACTCAATTTCAAAAGAAAAGATTGCTGATATCAAAAAACTTCTAAATCTTATATTTGGGGAAAACTGAGAAAATGTTCTAACCTTACAACCAGTAAATTAACCGCCGAGTAGACACAACTAGTCACTAAAATTCCTTTTGCCAATATTACTGTTGTGTTAAGGCGTTGATTTTTGTGATATCTATTTCAAATTAAAATTTTATAATTGATATCAGAGTGGGTTGAATAATAACGTTTCCTTAACTTATTTCAGATGTAGATTGCATCTTAACAAATTTAGAACTATCACGAGTCAACAAAGTAAAATTTAGATTACCACCAACAGAAAAAAATCGAACAGATAGCATCTTAAAAAGAGCTTTAGCGGTGGAAAAAGGTGAAGCAGTACCTCCATCGCCAACTGAAGAACATCCTGATGGACGTAAGATCTTCAACTACAATAAAAGTACCCCAATCTAACAAAATCCCTTCTTTTTTAAATTTTCTAATAGTAGATTTGTCTCTGTATAAAGAAGAAAGCCAATTACAGAAACCAGAAGGGAAACCCGCAGTGCGAAAACATCCGGCAAGAAGTCCTTCTAGAACTCGTCAAAAATTGCCGGGGAAGGCGAAAAAACGAAATGAAAATCGCGAGGAAAATGTGGTTGCTGCGCAACCAAAACCTAAAGAACCTGTTGAAAAGGAAAGTGTGAAACGGAAACCAACCCCAGCGACGGTGACTGTTGAAAGAAAGGAGGGGACCACTTCCGGTTTGTCACGGTCGGAACGTGCAAAACGGAGGCATGATAAGATAGACAGAGGGGACATTGAAGAACAACCAGTTGTTGATTCAAAGAAAGCGAGGGCTTTAGCAAAAGTTGCAAAACGGCTTGCTATAAAAGAACCCACATCTAAAAAACCAGGTAATGAAATGACTGATTAAAATGATACTTATGCATTCGAGATCGACTTCAACTTTAATAAGTTGTGAGTTTACGAAAAACATTTTTTTTTTAATTTCAGAAAAAAAAGACGAAGAAGTAAAAGCACCGGTTCAATCAAAAGCTGCTTCAAAAACAGGTACAATACCAAAGAAAACAAAACAAAAGCAGGAGGAACCGGTGCCGCTAGAACCGCGTAAGACTAAAAGAACAAGGAAATAAACGCACTAGTAGCAAAATCTGTGTTTGTTTGAGTCTATTTTTTTTTTTTTAATATTTTATATTTTTTAAAGAAGAAGACGCACACAGTACACACAAAAATAAATAAAAAAAAAAAAAGAATATGAATTTATTTGTATTTTAAAAATAAAATAATTAAAATGTAACAAAGAAAAACTAAAAATAAAGAACAAATTTTTGGAAAAATATTTTTATTATTAAACCTTGGGTACAAATTACGAAAATACGGAATTGCGCCTTGATGGTGTTTCTGTATTTCTGTGGACGCCCAAAAAAATCACATTTTTATTATTTTTCGACGTACTGTTGCATTTTTAATTTTATTTGTGCATTATTATTGTTTCATTATGTTTTTGTTCAAAATGTGTGTTTTTTGTGTGAATAACAAGTGCTCGGAGAATACTTTTAGTTTTTACTATTGATAAGTAAACGCAAAAAAAAAATATTAAAACCCTAAAAGTAGGGAAACAATTCTTATTTACCTGTATTTATAACGATAAGATTTTATTATTATAACCTCAGTTGTGTTCCTTCTTTGAATTATATTAAAAAAAAAATACATAATGTAGTAGAAGAGATAAAATTTTATTATTATGAATAAAAATGTAAAATTAAGGTGAGCACCCGAAGGAACACAACTGAACGTATGTGCATCTATTTCTTAGTTATTATTATTAATATAGATTTATTTACTGTGTATAATTTTTCGCAATGTTTCGAATGATTTTTTTATGATAAAAAATTGTGTTCGAAAATTGTTTTTTAATATTAATGTTATCAACAGTTTAATTAGGTGCCTACTTTATTTAATTGTGAGATTTATACAATGAATAAATACAAAAAATTCTAAAAAAAAAAATAGGTTTAGAATTTTTTAACACAACACATTCCTATATTAAATCCGAAACTTTATAGTTCTAGGTCTAGTTTTCGTTCTAGTTTTGGTTCTATGAAAAGTATACAACAATCTAACGCCAATATTTCTAGTTCTAGATCTAGTTTTAGATGTTATTCAGCATTAGATTGTCGTATATTTTTCATTTAACTAAAACTAGAACTAAACTAGACCTAGAATTAGAAAGTTTCGGGTTTAGCCGTTTTAAGAGACGTACGCCTAAACCCAAATGATTCTAGTTCTAGGTCTAGTGTTAATTAAGTTTTACACTAGCACCGTTATAGTTTCCGATATTTATGGTGGTTTTTATGACCCTCAGAAACAGTAGTGGTAGTAATTACCACCCCGAAAAAGTACCTGGACGTGATTTATGATAGGTCCTCCTAGTGAACTAGGTCCAGGGACGCACTTCTTTTTCATTTTATTTAAAATTCAACAAAATAAAACAGAAATGTAGTAAAGAATATAAATTTACTTATACTTAAATGATTTTACAAAAAAAAGCAAGTATTATTTGTTAATTGTTTTAAGTGTTACGGGAGTTTTTGTTTTTGTTTACGTTATATACATAGTGTTTACTATTAATTTCTCTATAATTTCTTTCTGTAAACTGGATACAAAGACAAATAAATAATAATAATATAAAAAATAAAACATATTTTGTGAAAAGATACATAATAAAATATATAATAATAATTATAAATTATTTAAGCAAATGTACTTTTTGATAGATTTAAATAAATTGTATTTTCACACAAGGTAATGATATTTAAGTTTTTAAATATTGTTATTAGTTATTGAAATTTTCGTTAATGCGGACCTGAACGACTCACGCCAAAGTTTGGGGTTCGTAAACTACCTGTATACAACCCCACCTCTGTTCGTTATATGACTGCAATTAAGTCAGAAAAACCACCAGAAATATCGGAAACTATACTATGTATAACTAACACTATATCTTGAACTAGAATCATTCGGGTTTAGCTACACGTCTCTAAAGACGGCTAAACCCGAATGATTCTAGTTCTAGGTATAGTGTTAGTTCTAGTTTTACACTTGCACTGTCACTAGAACTAACATTAGACCTAGAACTAGAAACATTCGGGTTTAGCCAAGCGTCTCATAAGACGGCTAAAGCCGAATGATTCCAGTTTTTGGTCTAGTGTTAGTTCTACTTTTAGTACAATCAAAATATACAATAATTTATCGCTGTTTAACAATTAAAATTAGAACTAACACTAGACCTAGAACAAGAAACATTCGGGTTTAGCCGTGCGTCCTCAGACGTACGGCTAAACCCGAAACTTTCTAGTGCTAGGTCTAGTGTTAGTTCTAGTTTTACACTAGCACTGTTACTATACAGGTGTCTCACGTAACTGTTTCGTTAGAACTTTTTCATCTTCCACTATTCGTAAAGATTTGAAATTTTGGTAGCATGGGTTGGGTTGGGCCGCCACTTCCGGTCTACCGGAAGTAGACCATAACTTCGCTATTTTAAATGAAATGCTATAGTTTTTACTACACAGTTTAATTGTACGTAAAAAAATAGGTTGACTTTGATAAAAGTTATTGGTACTTAGCGTTTTTTGTTTTCGAGTTATTTTGGTTTTAAACTTTTTTTGATAAATTTCAACATGCTCTTTAAAACTCCATATCTCAGCCAAAGTTCATTCAAAAAAGATCTACTTTGGCACGATTACTCTTTAGATGTTGTCAAATAGATTGCCATTTCTTGTATCGGAGTATCTTATACAGGCTGGTCAAAAATTGAATTACTGTTTCTCCATATTCAATGGCGAGAAAGTCGAAAATTTTAAATGGAAAGCCCTATATTTTTTTAGGCTATCAGGAAGAGAATTTAATTCTCTACAAATTATCTATACACATTCCCATACCTATTTATTGTAGTTTGCCTCATATTGCGACATTTATTAAAACATGCACGAAATGCAGGTTTTTTTTATTAGAAAGCTATGGAATGTTGATAGTTTTTGGTTCATGTTTGTATTATTGTTGCCATTAGTTACATTTGACGACGGCTGTAAGTTATTGAACATCATGGTAAATTATTCCAAAGCCGATATTTGAAATTTATTTTGTATTGATGGCGAATGTAATAAACTTTTGGACAAGACGACCATCAACAAACCTAACGCCCATCACGAGGAAAAATTTCAATAAATTGATAAAGAATTTATTAGTTCTGGATATATCGAGACCAAAAGAAATCGCATATTTCCGGTCACCAGTGATCAAGACCACGAAATAAATATTTTAACGTATTTAATTGCATTTCCAAATTCAATTTAATAACAAATTTATATTATAAATTTATATTTTTATTCAAAACTAATTTTTGTCATTAACTTTTTGTTTTAATAGTTTCATTTATTTGATCTTCTGTTTGTTATTTTTGCTAAATAAAAGCTAGTAAACTAAAAGATTATGAATCGTAGTTAATAGTACAAATAATAATAGAAATAAATTAAACAAAAAACTATCAAAATGTTATGGCCTTCTAATAAAAATGCAAACGGTTTCCTGCATTTTCTGCATGTTTTGATAAATTTACGAATATGAGAGAAACTACAATAAATAAGTATAGGAATGTTTATAGATAAATTGTAGAGAATTAAATTCCCTTTCGTGTGGGCTAATAAAATATAAGGCGTTCCATTTAAAATTTTCGACTTTCTCCCCATTGAATATGGAGAAACGGTAATTCAATTTCTGACCAGCCTGTATAAGATACTCTGATACAATATATGACAATCTATTTGAGAGCATCTGACGAGTAATCGTGCCAATTTAGAGCTTTTTTGAATGAACGTTGGCTGGGATATAGGGTTTTAAAGTGCCAAAAAACCTTAAAATCAAAATAACTCGAAAACGAAAAACGCTAGGTACCAATAACTTTTATGAAAGTCAACATATTTTTTTACGTACAAAAGGTGCAATAAAAACTATAGCATTCCATTTAAAATAACGAAGTTATGGTCTACTTCCGGTAGACCGGAAGTGGCAGCCATCTTGAAAATATTTTAGATCGAAAGTTTCGACTGAACAACCCATAGTACCAAAATTTCAAAACTGTACAAATACTAGAACCTAAAAAAGTTCTAACGAACCAGTTACGTGAGACACCCTGTATAGAACTAACACTATATCTAAAACAAGAATCATTAGGGTTTAGCCGCAAGTCTAAAGACGGCTAAACCCGAATGATTCTAGTTAGACCTATTTAGATCTATTTATTTACCTTACAGAATCATTAGACCTAGAACTAGAAATATTCAGCTTTAGCCGATTGTCTCATAAAACGGCTAAACCCGAATGATTCTAGTTCTATGTCTAGTGTTAGTTCTAGTTTTACACTAGCACTATTACTAGAACTAACATTAGACCTCGAACTAGAAACATTCGGGTTTAGCCGTCTTGAAAGACCTGCGGCTAAATCCGAATGTTTCCAGTTCTCGGTCTAGCGTTAGTTCTAATATTGCACTATCTCTAGAACTAACACAAGACCTAGAACTAGAATCATTCGGGTTTAGCCGTCTTGAAAGACGTGCGGCTAAATCCGAATGTTTCTAGTTCTCGGTCTTGTGTTAGTTCTAATATTGCACTATCGCTAGAACTAACACAAGCCCTAGAACTAGAATCATTCGGGTTTAGCCGTCTTGAAAGACGTGCGGGTAAACCCGAATGATTCTAGTTCTATGTCTTGTGTTAGTGCTAGTTTTAGTTTAATGAGATATATACATCACTTTAAAGTTGACTAAAAACTAAAACTAGAAGTAACCCTAACATTAGAACTAACACTAGACCGAGAACTAGAAAACATTGCAAATTATATTAAACCATATTCTTCCTAAATCATTGTTATATTTTTTAGGATAAAAACAGATTTTTCTTTAATCTTGAAGAATTTCTAAAATTTTCGATTTCTTATTATTTTTTTTAGTTCAAATACTATATTATTTCATAATTATTGAAAATATCTTTGGTTTAGACCTTTCAGATAAAAGGAATACACGCTATCGTGTACGCAGTAGAGACAATTACAAATAAAACATCTATAAAGTATGTAAATAGATTACTATAATTTAAGGGCAAAAAAATGGGCAATATCATGTAATTTTCGACCGTCTAAATCATGTTTCCCCCTGAAAAAATCTGTAAAAAAAGGTATAATTC